CAGACCTTTTGTGGTCAATAACCTATAAAAATTCATTGCTGCAGTCAGGTGAGGTGAAGTAACTCATTCAACTTGTGCAGATTTGTCTGGCATCTCTTTTAATTAAATATGGAAATGCTACTCATTAAATGGGTTCTTGTAGCCCTAAACTCTTGTTCTCTGCTTCCTAGAAGTGCCATATAACCAGGCAGCATTTTGCATCCACCAGGGCTGTCTAAGATGTTTCCAAGACCCGCTGTGTTCTGGCATAATTCAGTGAGGTGAATGGAGTGCTGTTGATACCCCTCCTGATCTACCTTTGCTACTCCAGTAACTTGCGCACCAGCAAGGTGATAGTCAGTGGCACGAGGAAGGGCCACGGTGTTCACAGGCAGCCGTGTTACAAGGGTGTTTCTTGGGCAGAGGATAGTCCATAGTTTCACCACTATGAAACCCAGTTGTCTGCTGGGGCTTAGCGGCTGGGTACATGGGAATATTGTGTTTGGAAAGCTCATACTACAAAACTGCCTGCTGTATTTTAACACTGGAGGTTGTAAATGTAATGGAATAAACAAAATTGTTTGCATTGCACTATTAATTTGAGGGAGTCTTATTTCCACCAACTTCCTCTTCAATTACATCTAGTGACCCACTTCAGAGACACACTCGTGCAGTAGAGCTATGCTGTACAACCTGGCAGAGTGTCACAAAGCTTTTGAGTGAGTGCAGGTAGGCACAGGAGTGCAGGCTAAAAAAGGGCTTTGGTATGAATGAAAAAAAACCAGCCTGGAAAGGGGGAAGAACAATTTATTCACATCTTTCTCAACTCGTTCTTTGCTCTGATTTTTCCTTTGGGAGGGTGGCACCTGGTAGACTAGGAATTTTCAGAAAAATAACAGGGATTTCATATATCTGTTTGTGAGCACACCTGGATGCGTTGAATATTTTGCAGTAGTAATTATGTCTGCACACCTGCTGGTTTCAGTCCCAAATCAGTTTGCCAGACATGCCTAGAGAGATTTATTTCTCCTATACCTGAAAAATCTCTTTTACCACTGACTTTTTACTACTCATAAGACTAAAGAAAAAGTGAAGAGGATTTTTTCTTGTCTTTGCGTAAGCCATTGGTATCTCAAACTGAACTTTGGAGTTTGTAGGGGGAGGAGGGTGTTTGGATGGTATTTTAATAGCAATTTGTTTTTGCTTCAATGTGTGATAGAAATACAAGTGACAGGAGTGGGAACAGGAGAGTTGCTGAATTCTGCTGGAATTTTTCCTGTGGGAATCTGTTAATGTTTTTAATTCTCTGAGAGATTTTTCTAAGGTAATCCTTTTGACATTTACATATTTTAAATGACTCTCATTAAATAAAAGCTTAACTTTTTTATATCAAATGCTGAAGTGATGATACTGGAATACCACGACATAGACATTCAAATCGTTTGAAGATTATTCTAATTGCAAACTAAACAAAGTAAGTTTTGTGAGGGATATTAATAGTGAATTGTTCTTTAAAATAACGTAATTTTGAAGGAAATTCAATTGTTCTGGCATTGAGCAGAAGCATTTTTTTAGACAAAACCCTTTTCAGTACCCAATGTGTGGTGCACATAGCTGTTTGCTAATTGAAACACTAATTTGAACAGCTGGGTTTTCCACTCCTCACTTGTGAAGCAAACAATCTGTGCAGGAGCCCAAGGGTTTGCAGTGCACCTTGTGAAAAATACTTCCAGTTGTCTGTATCATGTCGGAGTGTAGCTCAGCCCCTAGAGGATGCTGTTACCAGCACAGGGAAGGCTGGACAAAATAAAAACTGGAACATCTTTTAAAAAGCAAGAGCATGATGATGAGATGTTGCATCTCTTACTGGTGATACCCTCTTGCAAACAAATAACACTATAAGCAAAATGATTCATATCTTGTAACGTCCTTTCATAGGAGGCAGGAGTCATAAGGATATTTCAGCGACAAACATATGGTCTAGCCCTAAGATGCTTTTAAATGAACTTTCTTCTGTAGGTTACACTTTGCTCATTCAAGCCCTTCAGCCAGATTTTGCTCTCAGACCGGCCTAAATACTAAGCAAATTCATTTAATTAAATTTGCTGCAGATATCCCCAGTTAACAAGAACAGATTTGTCTCCCTGAGGCTAGATGGAGTTAACAAGAAAATAAATGTTGTGCTAATTAGAGAACTCATTTTCAGACACCTGGGGTGAAACTTTAAAAAGTCCTAGAGATTTAGGATGGAAAATTCATTTTAAAATGAGTCTTAGGCTTCTAAATCACTTAGGCACTTTTGAAAAATTTACTCAGGGGCTTTAACCATCATACAGTCGTCATATTTAGCATGTTTGTAGCTGTCTGCTTAGCAAAGGATGGTATAACCATGATCTACTAGTATCAGTATACCACAGTGTATTTCGTTATCCCTGTAAGTAAAGTAGAGATGGATGCTTTCTGGGAGGTTTTAAGGCATTGGTACACCAAATTTCCATCTATTTGTGACCTCATGGGACTTTTCTGTTGATTTAGGTACCTAAGAACTTTTAATTAAATCTTGGTCTTAAGTGACTTATCTAAGCTCATGAATGAAGAAGACAGCAGAGATGCAATTTTATAGTCCAGCACTTGCTGGAAGGAGAATGTCACACTGCTGAGTCATGATGGGAAGTAATAAGGAGTCATCTCATAAGCCCAATAAAAGATGACATAGGATTAATATTAAACCAAATTTCCAGATTCACATATCTGATTAGCAAAAAAGCAAGCAAAGAACCAGGCTCCAAGGAGCAAAAAGTCACTTAATTTGCTTACAGCTTGAAAGTATGTTTTCAGTTTGGTTTTCTTTCCTGTAGCCGGTCTGAGGATTTTTCTGAAATACTGTCCTTGTAAAGACATGCATTAGTAGCGTCTGTTTCATGCCAGGTAAAACCCTTCCCACAGCCACGCACACACTTGCTGTCTGTCAGCAAAAACTTCTGTGTCAGTAATTACAAAAATGCTATAAAAAACCTGCCTTGTAATGCCAGATAGCCTCTGGGTTGATTCAGTTCTATTTTGTCTTTCTTGCTCAGTGCAGTAACCCAGCATTGTTCCACCCTGAAGATGGACTCCGTTCCTCTGACAATCCACACTTGCTACTGTTTTATTTATGTGGTTCTACAAAGTGTCATTTTGAAGGCAAGAGTATGCAGCTGTAGTGTCCCAAAGAGGTGACCTTTGGTGACAAAACCTTTAGTCTAACAGGTTTATAACGCAGGTGAAGCATGTTACAGATAGGCACCTGGGAGCTGGATCTTATCATGGGGGCGAACCTCTGTACATCATGTAATCATCTGAAAATTTACTCCAGCCTGTCATGAGTCTAGATCATCAGACAACATCATAAAACAGATGAGTCAGGGTGCTAAAACATGGAGGTTATCCACTGAGCTCATTATTTTCATACCTAATTACACAGTGCTATTGAGGGAGAACTGCACATTATGCTGAAGAATCCTGTTTCATCACTAGTCCTAAAAGATAATTCTGTTTAATTAGGACCTATAGATACCATGGTGATTACCAATCTATAAACACTCAAGGTAGACCTGCTAATGAGGTGCAATAGCAAGTGTATCCATTAAACACAATTCAAAAGCTGATACTGAAGTGAGATGACAATTAAAAGTTGAGCTGTTTTAATTTACCGTGTAACTGGTAGCTCTAGCGCTGTCTGATTCTCTGCAATTCCTCTGCTGTGAACCAGCAGGCACAAAAACACCTGCTGCTCTTCCCTTACTGAACTGAGAAAACTTTTTGTTTAATCTGGTGCAATATATACATGAATGGGAGTTGACATCTGTAGTGGCAAAAGCTGTCCTTTTCTGTAAGAGGCCAGCTCAGAAAGGAAGAAGCAGAAATACAAACACGGCTAGTAGTGTCACAGATAAAGCAGTAAAAACTTTTCATGGTGAAAATATTTCTTTTAATTCGCGTTAGAATGCATTTTCCAATGAATTGCAACACTTGCAGTCAAAGAAGCTGCTGGTTACCTTGCCCCAGCACAGGTCTGGAGGGTCATTTGCAGCAAGTCAGAACACAGAAAAGTCACGCTTGTCCTTCTTTGGTGCCTGTGTGCAACTGCCTGCAAAGGTGTTTGGAATGGAAATACTTGGTGAAGGTGCCAGATCAGTAAAAGTGAGCCTAGTCAGATCCCACAAACTGTCCTGGTGAGTTCATAATAAATTGTCCTTCATGTTTCCCATGTTAGACAGAGCAACACGCTTCCTCACATACTTCTCCTGTTCTTTGCTGACTTGTACCACAGTTGAACCAATGACATAAAGCTGAAAGGATCCATCTCTCTTTATTGATCCTTTGGGGAATACAAACCCCTTGGAATAAAATGTTTAAAACAGTAGTCACTAAGTTAGTGTTTCTTTTTTCAAGCAACTGTGCTTGGACCAAAAATTCAAGCACTTGGGACTACTGGGATTCTTGTGTAAAAATGATCATAACTCTAGTCTCATCTGAAATTCTTTTCAGTGCATATGTTCACTGCAATGCTTTTCTGTAAATGGTTGTGAGTGTGAAGCACAGAAATAGTATTTTTATGGGGAGGAAGGGGAAAGACTTGCCAAGGGGCTAAGTGGAATGATAAATTGCTTGCCCATTGAAATTATGGGTATCCAGTTTCTTGCGTTTTGCAGCAGCGAGAACAGCTGAACAATTTTGTATTTACAGGTGCACAAGAGGTGCATGCATGTGGGCAGCTCAGCTCTTACCTTGCTTAAGAAGGAATGCAGCAAAAAGCAGATTTGACAGCTGCTTGATCAGTCAATGTTAAGAGGAAACACTTTACACTGAACTGTATGGCAAATAGAAATAACATCCAATAATGATAACTCAAAGAGCAAAGTGACTAGGAAAAGCAAATGTCCTGATCAGAATATATGTAAAGTTGCAATTTCACTTTAGGCTGCCTTATCCTCTATGATATCTGTGTCATCTTCTCACTCCCCCAGTTCATTGCTCGAATGGCTCTGCCACCTCCGGATCCACAGTTTGTTCTCAGAGGTACTGGTGCTGCAGTCCACACTCTGCATTTTTCCTGTGGCAACCAAGAACCTGATGTGCCCATTCTTTTCTCTGGGTAAGTAAACCAGGATTTCTGGCTGAGTTGAGCATCGTATGGACATTTGCTTTAAAAACGAAGTGTATTATTTAGATAAATTTTATCTGGAGAAAACAACAACATGCAAAACTGTCTTATCAGATTGTCTTCAGTGGTCACACTGAAAGCATTTGTTCTTGCTGCCAGGTCTGAGAATGGGTTTGTCCATGTCTGGAACCTGAAAACACACAGGGTGGATGCAGCACTGGATGGCCATGGAAGAAAATCTGTATACTGTGTGGAGACAATGGGTGATAAAGACAGGCTCCTCAGGTTAGTAAAGCAGGCAAAAACCAGTGAAATTCTTGTTTCTGTGATGTATAGGATTGAAGAAGTAAAAAAAAATCTCTTATTTCTGGAGTCACTGGAAGTCTCTCCAACACATATAGAAATGTACAGAAGTACAAAAATACAGAAAAAAAGTGTAGAACAAAAAGTGGAAAAAAGGATACAATTAATTGCTTTATGATATATGTGAGACAACGTCACAACAACTTGGGGTCCATAGTGTCCTTATTACTGCATTGAGATCAGGTGAGGTCTTTCGGTAAAGGAAATACACTGGGATCTGAAGTTGAGAAATGCTTCACAACTAGTTCTCAGGGAAGATCAAAATTGATATAAAGAGTTTATAAATAGAGGGGAGGGGGAAAAAAGGTAAGGAAGGAAGAGTCAGAGATGGAGAATGGAAAGCTGAAAATGAGCAAGAAGGCTGAGTTGTACGCCTTTGCTTTGTTGCAAAATATCTTGTGTTCTCGTTTAGCAAGGGAATGTCAGAAGATTTGTGTACTTTGGATTAGACAGGTGATCTAGAGTAGATGCCAAAGTGTCTGTATGACTAGGAGGTGTTCTGACATGTTTATCTAGAGAAGACATCTCTTATAATATACAGTGGAACTCATTAGCATTTATATTTGTTATCTGCTTAAGTACAATTATCAACACTCTCCCCCATAAAATCGTATTGAATGAGCATTGTTTGTATAATTATAGAGTTCTTCCATACCTCTATTTTTGCTGTGTATATATATATAACAGTTCACTCACATAGCAGTGCAATTCTAAGACAGCAGTTACCTGTATTTTTTGTCTTTCTGTTTTAGAGCTGAATCACAACTCTTTCTTGCAGTACCACATTGTTTGTATGCCCAGTGCTATGAATGTTGTGACAGCTTATCACTCAGATGGGAATTTCTGTATTGATGTTGAAGAAGTCCCAACAGTCTATAGATTTGCATCTACCCCTGTTCGGGTTTCATGCTTCCATCGGGTGATACTGCTAATTAAAATAAGAAATGGATAAGGGATTTTTGATGACTCCTTGTCCCAGGGGATAACAATAGGACACATATCCTGTGCTACTGTGGTTTGTGGATTGGAAACTTCTCCACAGCGGTACTTTGTGCCAGAGCCAGTGGGATCGTGTAAATGTGTAGTAATTGATGCTGTGCCCTTTGTCTGGCCTCCTTGCTCTTAACTGCCTGGGACCAACAAGCGGACTTTTCTGTGGGACGAGAGGTGTGCAGAGGAGTCTCTGCATGAGCTGCACTAGTACATCAGTGGTGCAGCCGCTGGTGCTTTGGTTTTGGGTGTTTTAACCACAGCATTTCATCATTTAATTCCTGCTACTCACAGCACTGCCAGTCCCTCTCCTGTTGAGTCCCCCCACACACAGAGTCATAACAGTCTTCTGTGCCCTCCCCGTGGCTGTGGGAAGTTGACCACTGAATAACTGTAGCTTTTTATTTAGCTTTGATGCAGTCTTTGTTGTCTTGCTCTTTGTCTTTCCGCTGTCAACACACCTGACATTTCTATTTCATTGCTAGGGAGAGAGAGTGTTAAATCTGTTACTCTCTGGAAACTTTTGTTTCCTTTAAATTAGATCTAATCAGTGGTAAAAAGTGAGTATTTTTATTATGAAAATGTTCAAATACTCATGAGACTTCATAAATTTATACGCACGTATAAATAACGTAACTGTTTGATCAAGTCTCTCTTCAAAAGGAAACATGACTAACTGTGACTGTATCTGACTGACACTCAGGTCCTCCCTCCTCATGGTAACTTTTGAACCTATTGGCTAGTTTTGCAGTCAGCAGAAGGGTGGTGGTCTCCATGATACATTTCATGAAAGACCCAATTAACACCACCACAGAAGCTGTATTAAGCTCACTCCTTTATGGCATGCTAAAGACCCAACCTTGAGATACTAACCTGTAGGAAGCCAGGCTTCCTCAGACCTGCTGCTCACGGGGAACTTGTTTTACTCTAACAGTCAGGGTCGTGACCAGAGGATCTGCTTGTGGGATTTGGCAGAGGGACGGACTGCAGTGACGGATTCTGTCTTCACGGAGCATGTGGGATTCTGCAGATGCTCTCTGTTAAAGGTGGCACAGGGACGCTGGCTAATGGCCATGGCAGCCAAAGCCCTGGAGGAGGTAGGAAATATCTCTTTTTCTGGTGCTTGGGAGATTGGTTTTGGTTTTGAAATGAGATAGTTCTGAAGGGGAAACATCATTGCTCTTAAATACTCTGCTCCAGAGAGGGCAGCACAAGGAACCTTTGGGGGTTCTTATCACCAATTTTACCTGCCAGAAAGATGACTGAATTATATAACTTATGCTCTAATAACAAGGATATCACCCCAAGATTTGTCTGACATTTAAGTGTTTGCAGCTGCTGCTGGTCTTTCATGTGCAGGAGTTTTGAAAACTCCTCTGGTGCTGCTGAATACTGTTAAAGGGGAACAAGGGTCCTTCTGGGGAACTAGTGGTCAGAAAGTCTGTCATCAGGTGGAGGTACTCATCTTCCATCTGAAGCTGAAAGTCCTGTTTGCTGAGAGAAGGGGAGGCGCAGGTGATTTGTAATGTGGTATGTGGTCTTTCACCTCGGGCTAATTCTTTAACTGGTACTTCAGCTGGAAATAGTTGAATTACTATTAGCGGCCAGAGGTTTGCTCAGTGTGAGATAATTGTAGGGTCCATTTCAGTTCCTACTGGATAAGTCCACATCTAATGCCCATTATCACAGTGATCACTGACTGACAGCTTTGTTGGCAATTTCCACTTCGGCTTTGTAGAAATCGTATTTTTGTTTTCTTTGAAGGACTTTTTGAGGACATCACACAAAAATAAATTATTTCAAATACTTGACATCAAAATACCAAAAATACGAAAGAAAAGAAAAAAGTGGCATAATATGAAAAGAAATATAGCTAATTGTGAATTGTTCATGAGCATAAAAGGTCACATGGTTTTCTGGACTATAGGATGTGTATCTTGAAACTGAAAGTTGCATATTTTATATCCGAAGTAATAAGTGGGAATGGTGCCTGTGTTGCAAGAAAACGTGAACCTTTTATTATTCAGAAGTTAAGCATATATTTAAGTACTTTGGTGGCTCACAGCCAAAATGTTCAGCCTTTTACAGAACTGAGTAAGCCTGTAGACACAACCACTGTACCAGTAAATACAACCATTCTAAGTCTGGTACCTTGTTCTGATCAAACAAAGAACTCTCTCCGTTTTACAGCAGTGCTCAATAATATTTAAGTTAAACAAAATTGACAAGTACATTCTTGTGTCAGCGGAGAAGAGTTTTTGCATCAGGCAAAGAGTGCACACACACATTCTGGTAATGAATTAAATAATCATCTGATCCAAAGAGAAGACATTTACCCCAATGTCTCTTACAGCTCATCTCTGTTTCATTTTCATGTATTTGCTTGGGCCCTGCAAACTGATAATGATTTGCTGTCTTCTGAGGTAAGGGTTCCACTCTGTGTGTGAACCTTTACATTAGAACTGTGTCAGGTTTCAATAAATTCACATAAGCTCCCATAATATATAGTGCTTCCAAATAGGCAGCACTGTGTGAGACACAGTACATTTGCAGCTTATGATTAAAATTAAGACTTAATAAGTGTTTATGCTTGGCTGGTGCCCAAAAAAAGAGTAATTTTGTCTTAAAGCAGGTTCAGTCCATAAATAATGAGATCTGAACAGGCATTTATTTGTTCATGATTGCATTTAAATCACCAATTATGAGTTACATGCCGTTTTCTTGCCAATTTGCCAGAAACATGTTAAAAGCTTTATTAATGTGAAAAAGAAAAAGGGTGTGTTTCCTTGTGGCCAGTTTTAGCCACCCAGGAACACTATTAACCTCAGGCAAAGGCAAATCTTTCTCCTATTAAGCAAAACCAATATAAACACAGAACTTCAAGTTTTAGGTTACAGTTGTCAAAATATATGAAATAGTATTTATTTCTAAGGCTCAGTTGCCTCTAATGCAGACAGTCTCTGGAACTGTCAGTCTAGCATAGTCAGCTCATGCCTGCCTGCCTTCTGCAGAAAGCTTTTCTCATCGTTGTGTTTTTCTTTGTCCTTTGCAAGCCCAACTGTAGCCCTTGTACCAGTTCATCCGTTTTTAATCAAGGTAAAGCAAAAGAGTGTTCGTTTGGCTTTTTTTCTTTTAACCTGAAGAAGTGCATATATCACAGCACACTTATCCTTATTACGTAAACGTTGCAGTTTCAATCTTGTCCAGGAGGCAATGCCCTTTGGAGAGCCAGTGATGAAAGACACAAGAGGAGGGCAGGTCATCTTCATATTTAGAGCCCGTTTCCTGTGATAGCTAAATTGGTCATTATGCTGATAGCAAGAAAGTTGCCAAGAGAAAAGCATCTCTTGTTAAGAGTGTAGCTCCAAAGAACCAGAATTCCCAGATGATCAAGCTTTGGTCTGTTCATAGGTTTGGTCTACATATTGTATGGCTCTTTGCTGTAGTCTCCATTCCTCAAATCTGGAGAATAGTTTCCTGCTCCATTGCTAAGTGGCTTTAGAAAGTGTTCTGTAAATTGTGTTTAGTACATTGTCGACTTGCAGTCCTAGAGTGCAGCTGGCTTTTGGCAGGCTAGCTGACAACCTCTAGAAATAGGAAGATGTTCTGGCAAGCTTTGAACTAAAGGTATGGGACTGGAAAGCCATCGCAGCTGCCGTGGCCTTGATTGATGGCTCCCAGAGGAGCCATATTTGTGTAATACCTCATCTCAGATGCTTAAGGAAATTCACATGGCTGGGGCTGTCCAGCAGCACTGCTGAGCTTTTGCACATTCTGAAATCTGAATTCTGATACTGGATTTATCAAATGTTTGAAGTCCTTTAATTTTACAAGATAATGCAGACCATTGTTTATTTACTTAAAATAAAAGATCACCTTAGTGATGAAGTATGCATTTGAGAAACAGTGATGTTCCTGGAAGCGCGTTTTTGATACCCAAGAACTTGTATTTCTCCATAGTTCCAGGCTTGAGAATCAGTCCAGAGTGAGGCACTTCCTTGTCAATCAAGAGACTCAAAACCTTCCAGCGAAGCTGGAAGCAGTGGAAGCTGCTATGTAGACAGAGCGGGCGTTTAACACCATATTGTCTGACCCCGTTTTGAATAGGGTCAGGCAAGATTGTGTTAGAAATACCTGTATACCATCACCGCTCCAGCCTGCATTAGCAGGTAATTCTGGGTTTACATTTTGTTAGTACTGTCAGCCAATAAATAAAAAATCCACCTTAGATCTATACATTGGCTATATTTTCATGCAAGCTCAGTGTTACTGTGACAGAACAGAGGAGACAATGCAAGTGTCCACAAATTAATCTAGAAAAAAAAATAGCAACAGAGATGGAGAAAGGGGAAAGGGAGAGGAAGCAGGGAAGTGCTTTCAGATTAAGCAGTCTGCAGTATTATCTAGTGTGTGCACAATATCATCTTCTGTATGGAAACAAGAGTATAATACAGATTAAATAGCAGAGTGGAAGGAGAGGATGTGTTCATTCTAGCAGTTTTGTCTGGTCTTTCCTAAAAGAATGCATTTATTTAGATGGCTGTAGATCCCCCTACAGCTCCAACTTTAACACGCATTCCTCAGTTTCCTCCAGACAGTTTTTACTGGAAGAGCTTATACTAGCCGTAATCACCTTAAAGGACTTGTGCTTTTAACAGCAGAATTTTGACCTGGAGCCTGACCAAATACTCTTGTTTTCCTGATGTCAGGTTCAGGTTTTGGAGCTGCCATCCAAGACATCAGTCTGTACCTTGAAGCCAGAGGTGGGTGCCAAGCTGGGCATGCCCATGTGTCTGAAATTATGGCAGGTAAGGCAAGAGCGCCTGCTAATTGTGAAATGTTTTCCCTGTGATTCATTTTATATGAAGTACATGAATCTTTCTTCACTTGGATTTTGATTTATTATCAAACCAATCAAGTAATTATACTATTAAAGGGGGGAAAGATTTGTGAACATCCTTAATGTAACTTTCAGAGCTTTCCAAGCTTTAATGGAAGATTTGCAATTGCTCAGGGAAAGCTTTGTATCCTTAGGATAGATACGGTTTTTGCATCAATCAAGAGGAAAATGAGTGACTTACCAAAGCCAGTTGTTTGATATGGTTTCTCGCTGCATTAAGAATGATGAGAAATGATTGGGTTACTTAAAAACAGTGATTTTAATGGCAGGTTACATTCACTTCAATGCCCTCAGGACAAGGAAGCACTCTATGAACATTTGTATTCCAGACATACAATAGGAACAAAATATTTATGGTTGTATTGACTTTGGACAAAAAGGTAAATAAAAGCATTAATGAAAAACTGCCACATTTGCAGAGTATTCAGCAAATAATGTTTATGGGGTGCCACCAGTGAAAGACAAGTAATACAAAAAGGTGGCAGCAGAGGGAGGAAGGAGTTTAGGTGATTGGCACTAAGTCTCCAAAGAATTGGTGGCAAACCTGATTCCCAGTTTAACCCCCTGACCATATATAAGTTATAGGTGTGCAGTTACCATCTGAGCTCATTTCAAGTATGTTAATCATTCCTGCAGATTCATCTGAAATTTTGTATTGGTTTCAGTTGAAACAACTATCAATCAGTTGTGAATCTGAGGCCTTAGTGCCTTCACTCAAGGTCTTGTACCAACTGAAGTCGAGAGGAATTCAGTTGCTGACTTCAGACAAAAGTAGGAGAGGCCACAGTTCAAGTCCCATGCTGTAATTAAAAACTAGGGGAAAAAATAGAAGGAAAATTAAATAGACTGATTAGGTTTTTATTGAACAGAAAGTTCCTCCTAAAAATGCAATCCGTGTTCAGTACTCAATGAAATTAATGGGGCTTTCTGTCTCCTGGACATATTTTAATAAGATGAAAATAACTGAGGAAATGTTCAGTGTTGAAAATTTTGTTGCCTGTATAAAAAGTCCTCTGTCTTGACATATTTTCTACATGCATTAATATTGCTATTCCTCTAGGAAGCAGAGCAGGTGCAGAGTCTTAATTTTATGTAGTTTTTAATTTTGTTGCCAGTGGGGATAAAGCAGAGGACTGGGAACTGGGAGAGGTAAACTATTCCATGCAAATTCTGGCTGTGGGAAGTCACCACAACTTCCTAGACTGCAACAGGCTAGGATAGATAATCCCGTACAGTCTCACAGCTGTATTTGCTCTTTTACGAATGTGTGCAACTCGGTTATAAAGAACGGGGGAGGAGGATACTCTTAAGGGCAAATAATTGTATGTGGTGTACCAAAGTGATGCTCTATGTTGTTTTGTGGTTTTGCTGTAAGTGGCTCGCCGAATAACCCTGTAACCATAAAAGCAGAAGAACGCGAGCTACCCCAGCTGCACCCCTTCCTGAATAGAGGCAGTCCAGGATTTCTTTGTACATTACTGCATTGGGCAATATAGACATACCCAAGAGATGAGCACTCCCCAGCCCATCGTTATGGGCAACATGTTGCCTAAGAGACTGTTTGACGTTGCTTATGGCACAATAAATTAACAAGTTGAAACAGAAGCTGACATGGAGAGAGCCACATAATAGTCTGAAGGAAGTATGCTAAGGGTTGTTGTCCAATAAGAGTTTGGGGGCTGCAGCTGGGTATCGTCATATTTTTCTGCATGCCAATAAAAAAAAAATCCATGTATGAGGGAAACAACACACCTTACCAGCAGCAGCATGAATTAGAAACTTTACTATAGAGCAGAAGGAAATTGAGGCTTGTAGATTAAACCTGACTGGCTTCTAAGCAGTTGAAAAGCTAGTGGCTGTTGGTTTGAAACTTTATTTTTTCTCATTTTACTAGGTCTGTCCTTAGATGTATTAGTCCATTCAATGGATTTTTTTCCTTCTGAAGGTTCATATTCTTAACTACATTGTCCCTCCAGCTTCACACCTTCCTGCTATTACTAATTGGGTGGGGTAGGATTTGCAGGAGTAAGGATAGTCTTCCCTTAATTCTTTTTCACTCCTTGGGGAAGGCATCATGTTGCGTAATGGTGCAAACAAATAATTCAACAGGAATAATACATGTAGAAACTGGAAACGCAGAGTTATTACTTTATATAAACTATAGCAATTATTGCTGTTGAGTTGACAGCAAATCACCTTTTCTTCCTTCCTTGACAGTTACCCAAATGCAACAACAAAATTTTCTGCTCAGGAAGAACAATGATTTATAATTTAATTTTTCCACTGAAACCAAAACATGAATGGTGAAGACTTTTCACCAGAAGTATCCGTTATTGGGAACTGAAATAAATGGGTCGTTGTGAACCACTGCTTGGTGAGTCCAGGCATCAGACTGAGAGCTCCCCTGATCTTTCAATAGCTTTTATTGTTTTAAGTTCGAGTATATGTACTTATTGAAATATTACACTTCATATGGTTAGGGAAAGTCAGGAAGAAGAAGCATGCGAGAACTTCATTTCATAGAAAACAATACTTAGTTTTTAAAATACACGTCTTAGATCTCACCTGCAAATCACTGGTTTTCAAATCTAAGCTAAGATATCCACAGCACACAACAACAACAAAGGGTTTGCTTGGCATTTCTCATAATGCTGAGCACTTACCTGTCTTTCTTATCTTAATGAGGGTTATGAGCACCTATAAAATCTGGCCATCCCATTCTGAGTAAGGCAGAGGAGCTCACCCTGCCCATCCATATCTTGTTTCTTTGGCTAATGAAAGCTGTACCTTGTGTAGAGCCCCAGAACTCTGGAGGAGTCATGTGCTCATAGAAGATCAGTACAAATACTGGGGAGGGGTGGGGGTGCTCTATGCCCAGACTGAGGGATTTTTTTAAACTTAATCGAAATACCTATGAAATACTTTGTTTTGCTTTGAAGGTGTTACTCTTTATTAAATATAAATAAAAGCAGGAATTTAGTTTCATTCAGATTTTTTTTTTTTTAACTTTTCCCCTGGTATTAAAACCAGGTAATCTTCATCCAAAATACCTTATAAGCTAACATTAATTCACATATATTTGACATATATTCATTCATTGCTCTGATGTTATATTATTCTAGCAAATAAAAAATTTGATAGAAAAATTGTACACAGGTCTGGGCATTACGACACCTTCTTTGTGGGCCTTTCTAGCCAGAGCATGCTCCCTACCTTTTCAAAAGAAAAGGGATCTTAAAGCAAGGAATGAGACTCCTGCAGGAAGGATCCCAGGTGTGGGCAGACCTGTTCAGAAAGATGATGTAGGGGACTTCCCCTTAGTTTCCCTCTTTTAAGGGGCAATTTTCTTCCCAGCTCAGTGAGTTCCATTCCACATTTAAACACTTCTTTAGGCTGAATAAATCTGAGAAAGAACATGAGGCTTTTACCCAGCAGTCTTATTACCTAGACCACCCATCTCTTGTTAGTTTAACTCCCCCTAGAACAAATAATAACCAGTGGGAGAATAGTCTGGACCATTAATAGAGGCAGTGAGCCTTTGGCCACTGCGGATTTGTATCATGACGTTGACAGCCAGCGAGTTTGAAGAACCTCATTGAACAATGTGATGCCAATAATTAATTCTTTATAAATGTCCTTTACCTTTATTTTGAACTGAATACCAAGCAAACAAATCCTGTAGGATCAGACAATGTTTGGAAAGAGCTGAATAAGCTATTGGATGCATTTCTTAGGGTAAGATGTCCCTGCATGAGGTGGTTGTAATCCCAATGTCTATTTTGCTGTTTCTTCTCCCATTAAAGAAATCACTGGCATTAACAGATGCCTGGTTTTTGGTTGATTTTCATTAGGGATTTGCATCTTCACTCACTTAACCAGTTACTGCTTACGGGGTCATTAGTCTTTTGGCTGGAGCAATGATGAATATTTTCCTTAAGTGTGACATGTAATCTAGTAATGTTCCCTTCTTTGAGTTATTTCAGAGGCTTAAATAAATTAGGTGTCTGCCCAGGGTGCCATGCCCTTTGGCCTGTGACATCATTAATCAAAATAGCTTTCAATTGGTTACAGTGGGACTCGGGCGCCCGTTAACCCCTTGGTGACTCACCCAGAGATTCCTGACGAGAGGTTCAGTGTTTACCTTTAAGCACTGTGGTGCACTTGGGTAAACGATCCCTGTGTGTAATCCTACACTTGGCAATGTGAAACTGGGATCTTTAAGCATGGCACCTCTTTCAGGGTCCATAAGAGTTTGTATAACTTGATAGTAACTCAGCTGCGCTCAGTACTTTTTTTTAAGGAGCACAAGCAAAGTTCAGGCCATGAAGTAAAACTTCTGAAAACTTCAGGCAGCCTTTTTTCACATGTGGTAGAGAGCAATAGTTTGGATTTTCAGAGAGAAATTTTCCATATGTGTATATATATGTATGTTTTAGATACGTATTGTATCTATAAAACATAAAATATTATATGTAGATATAAAAATCGTAAGTGCATGTCAGCAGCTACCTAGTAATGCTTTCTGTAAGTGGATGGACTATCAAGATTTCACGTTCAGACTTCTAAACTTTTCTATACCAGTCAGCATTTTCATTTATTTTCCTGGTGCTTGGACTGAAACCTACCTGGTTTCAGGATGATAATTTTCCTAACAGACTATTTACTTTTCAAACAATTTTACTTTTCTCTTGATCAGCTCAACTGTGGTTCACAACCTTTGCTTCTGGCTGGCTATGAAGATGGATCAGTGGTCCTTTGGAATTTGTCAACGGGAAAAGCGTTGAGCCAACTTGTTTGCCACCAGGAGCCAGTGATGAGCCTTGACTTTGACTCGGAGAAGGCCAAGGGGATCTCGGGCTCATCTGAAAAGGTGCTTAGCATCTGGAGCCTCAATGAGCAACAGAACCTCCAGGTCAGGATCATTGGCCCTCTAGTGTCATTTATCCCACTTTGCACTAACAGTTTGATAGACTAAAAAAATATTTAGTCATGAAGAGGAGTTGTTGCAGATCTCTAGCTAATTAATCACAGACTGGTTAGAATGTCTGTGCTATGTGACTAGACTTAGCAAAAGATGGTGAGGATTTAAAAAAAAAAAAGAAAAAAACCTCTCTCACATGTTTCTGGTTTTACCAAAGTCGCAACAGGCACACAAGCCTAGCATTACTCAAGCCATTGCCTCTGTATCTTCATTTATCACGTTAGTAGTATTCAGCTCTCGGAATGTTCTAAACATTATAAATGAGTTATAAAAATGAGAAACAAAGGATTGCTTTTCCAAAGGTTCTGCTTGAATGGATAGAGGTTTCTTTGCACTGTGGGAAAGACAGAAATATTCCATGAAATACTTCACAAACAAAAGGAGTAGGAGTAGCCCAGCTAGCACCAGGACATGAGGTTTAGGCAACCACCTTCCTTTGGCACCTTTAGAGCCAGAGACAGAGAAAATAAGTTAATTGGATATATCAGTGCGTATCTGAGATACACATACCTGGAAAGACTGGTTTAGAAGGAGGTCTCATAATCACCAGTTCAGGCTATGCTAGTGAATGGCAATAAATATTGCTTAATCTAGACAACTTTAGCAAGTGTTCCAACAGTGCCAAGGGGTTAAGTAGGTTTTTAACTAGGTGTGGAAATGAAGTGTGTAAATAAGGCTCATGAAAATTAAACCGGCCTGTGCATAGCCTCTCCACTGCTGAGTGCTTTAACCTTTTTTAAAGTGGCAGTTGTCCCCTGAACACAGAATGAAGAGGACCTGAACCAGCCCCTCTGCCCCCATGTCATCCTTGAGAAGAGAGCTGCTGGATACACCAGTTCATGGAAGAACAGCAATTGCTCTTCCAGCTTGGAGATTTTTTTAGGTAGTTTGGCAAGCTAATGCTGTTTTCTGAATGGTGTTACAGGAAGAAAAAAGCAAATGCTTGGACAGCCAACAGTGACGTGTCACCTGGGGGACACTGTGAGGGTGTATAATCTGTTCAGCATCACCACAGATGTAGCAGTATTGAATGGCAGGCACTAAGACCCAGTGCATGTAGTGTAAATGCACCCCACTGAGATGAAGTTTGGAGGACACGATGCTCACCAAGGAGAACGTCTGAGCTTTAATAAGCAATAAGACATGAAGTAAAAGAGGCACTCTAGACTCTGAATAAGTACCAAAGGCGTGCTAAGCAAATGTGCTAAAGAAGAGTTTCAACAAGTCTGGTACATAATTGTCATAGTTTGGTATTTTTTGACACATTTTCCCTCCCCCTGGCCCAGCCTTTCTGTCACTGTTGGCACACCTCTGTACCTGGTGTCCTTAGCTCAGGGTAGCAGAAGGAAGGTGAGTAGATAAGTCCCAGTAAGAAACTTGGTATTGAGGCTAGTTTTCTAAGGCCAAGGTGTCAGAAATCTGACATCATGACAGGCTTCTTAAAGCTTCAAATACTCTGGTGTTGGAGAGGAAGCTGTTCCTTCATATTAATTATAGCATAGCTTTTTCCTAAATTCAAAGAAAATACTGTTCTCCACAGCACACTTCAGTTATGAGTTAACCGTAATGCAGGGGTACAGGGATGACTCATGGGAAAAATAAACAGTTGTTCACCTGAAATATTCCAGGTATTGTTTTCCACAGGGTATTCACATTCCCAAGAGATGCAGGATTAGTTACGTCTTCAACACATCACACTGAGAGATAGTAGCTTTTCTCAGAAAAAAATTAAATGCCAAGTATTATAAACTGAAAGTAATGTTTCTGTGCTTCATGCGTAGTGTGAACGCTTTAATAAAACGCATCTTTCATATGACCACTAGAGATTGTCAAGGACATAGATTAAGTTTTTTTCCACTATTGCATTAATAATATAAACCAGATGGGGATTTTTTTCCCTGACATTCCAGGTACCTGAGGTAATAGTAGATGTTGGAAAGCCACTCAGTGGCACATTATTTTTATTCTAAAAGGTTTTAATAAGTAAACGTGGTACATAGCTATCTGCCGTTGGAGAAATAATGACGCAATGATGGTACTTCAGCTCTGTTTTAAGTGGCAGTGTTCCAATGTGTCAATGAATAGATGATGAAGGTAACTTCATAGCTTATTGCTATGGGGAAAGTTTGGTGTATTGTCTTCTACAAGAAAGTTGCTGAAATCATCACTGTAGCAAATGACTGGATTGGTTATGAGCCTTCTGATTTGGACAAGATAGTGTAATTATGTGATGATGTTTGTGGTAGGATGTAGGAGGTAAACAGCTTCTGCAGGTGAATAAACAAAGCAGAACTAAAAAATCTGATAATCACAGAAGCTCCTTTGTATATGACAAGAAAAATAAATTTCTATAAGCTGTAATATAAGTATGCACACAAGTTTTGTTGGTTGGGTTGCTGAGGCTTTTCTCTCAAATGCTGAAGCTAAGGCTGCTGCTGTCTTGGCTATTTTTCTAATAAGAATAGGGCTTAAAGACATGACTTGGGTGTAAGAGAGGGAGATTAAAAAAAAAGAAAAATCATAGATAGCATGCGTTAAGGAGGGAAGGAGGGGTGAATAGCTGTTGGCCTCAGCATGGCAAAATTTCTTAATGCATCTGCTAGTAGATGCAAGTGTCCTTGGTCATGACTGGCTGAAAGCAGCTCACCTGTTTTTACCTCTTTGTTTTCTTAATTACAAGCTGGTTTTCTGGTTAGGAAATGATGTTGGTATGCGTTTGACTACAGTAAGTGACTGGATGGCACAAATCCTGGGCACTAGGATTTCATCTGGCTGCATATACCTCGAGCAGGTTGTTCTGCTTTGTTTTTCTCTCTCGCGTCCTGTATTTGCAGATCATGCACAAATGCCCACTGTTCCCTCATGTTCCATAGCCAAAAGGCATCACCATTATAGGCTTCATTTTCAAGTTGTAGCTTGCTGATGACATGCAATTTTTCCCAGGTACCCTGATTTTGCTGTATGGATCTTGCCCACATAATTGACAGTAATGATGGGAAGCACCACGCCCAGGATTGGTTATAGCCATTAGCTAATAATCTCAGTTACAGAGTAAGGCCCATCTTACGTTTGCCAGGCTGGTGATGTAAGTAATAAATCTTTCCCTTGCCAGTAGGCATACGCCAACAAAAATCTCACTGAAGCCACACTACATTAGCTTAACTGGGGAGTTTGGAAGAACATACGTCCTAGCAAAACGCACAGGTTTTACGGTAGCAGCCCCACAAAAAGGTCCACATACAACCTCATACTGTTCATCAGGCTTGAGCAAAATTTGCTGTCCTCTGTTCTGAATCAGTTGTAGACATATTCATCAGGTGCTGTTTAAAAGGGGAATGTACAGAGCGTGCAAGAAGCACATCAAGTTTCAGTTAGCCTTTTTTTCTCATCAAGTTGTGCATCTCTCGCTGTTTGAGTAAGTAGCTGGGCAGTTGTTACGTAGTTGAAAAAGAATTGCTTATAGCTTTGTGCCTGTAAGATTCCAAGATGCGTTCAACTGCATCTGAAACCAACTTTGACCAGCATTTCTGGAGTTTTAGTTTTCATACGTCCAGTATTATAGTTAAAATTATCTGCAATGAATATATTCTTTATAATCCTGTACTAACCATGCATCATAGAATGTCCTTCGAGGAGGAAAGCTACTCAGATGTAACATGCTTGTCAATCCTTTCCTGCCTCAGAAAAACAGAAAACAACACACAGCGTATTAAAACCTGCACTGAATTATATTAAGCTTTGGTACAAGATAGTTACACATTCAGTCTTAAGTGAATGGTGGCATTAATGTATCATTTCCAATTGTGCTTATAAATAACAGCACTTCAAGGTCAGCATACATGCAAAAGGTTTCTTCTGCATTGTGACAAAAGCTAGGCTATTTCAACATGCACACGTGTGCATGCACACACACACACGCTCTGGTGCGTATACTGTATGTGTTTCAGAGGTAGACCGCTGACTAATACAAGTTATCTGAGGTGAGAACAGCGAAAGTGTATTTTATTGAGCTTTTCCCCAGGGCTTCAGGGGAAACGCATGTCAGTGAAGTGAAAACTTTGCTTCCCAAGGCCTCAGTCTTGTGCAGCCCCAGTGCCTCCTGAAGGAAGCTAAATGCCTTCCAATTTAATTGTGCCCCTCAGAAACTGTGCCCCAGTAGTCTCCAAACAGTAACAAAAAGCTTCCAAGATTGAAATCAATAACTTGGTCATAATCCCCTTCTTGGAATTTGGTGTAAATAAAAGTCTCTTGGGAAGGAGTACTAGAAATACAGATTTCCTGACACTGTAACCTAATTCCTGGAAGCATTCCTTTCTCAAGACTGTGGTAAATGCTACCACAGCTTACTGGGTTTTTTGTGAGGGGCCACAGTAGTAGAAGTAAAGTAGCAGGTAGTTTAAACATCAGCTCAGAATCGCAGCATGGGAATATTGCAGAAGCAAGGAAAATATCTGGCCATAGCTCTGAACATTGCAGCTCATGCAGGAATAGCTGGAAGAAAAGAGCAAAGCTGTGTAGTCTGGTTCTTAAAACCTTGACTCAGAGCTTCACTTGTGACAGAATACAAATAGCTTTAAATGCAATATAAACTAAAAACATGCAAGGGCTGCTTTTAGTTTTAGAGAATGGTGCTGGATACAGATAGGCTCAAGTTAAGGTCTTTTTCATCTCTGCCTATAATTGTTCTCACTTAAGGCGTCATCCACCATGTGGTGAAAAGCTCCATACTGCCCATGTGATACCTATGTATATGGGTGGGCACTATACCTTCTAAAAATCACAAAACATTTCATCTGTTTGTTTTAAACAATTAGAGCTCATATATAACTTTCTTACACAGGTTTACAAAACACACAAACTTGTCAACGCTGGCATATCTGGTATCACCATCCGTCCAGACAAGAAGATTTTAGCAACAGCAGGATGGGATCATCGCATCAGGATCTTTGGCTGGAAAAAAATGAAGCCCTTAGCAGTGCTGGACTACCACACAGCGACTGTCCATTGTGTGTCCTTCTCAGATCACAAAAACCCCGGTGAGAGACTACTGGCAGCTGGCTCAAAAGATCACCGCATCAGTATCTGGTCAATATATACTCAAACGTGACATGTTCTGCACTGTCATAGACTAGGAAAACAGGATTGGTGGAGCAATTCTTTACACCTGGATGTGGGGAAGCAGTAGAATGTATTTTCAGGCTGAAGTAAGAGTTCTGGGTTAATTCTTATGCTGCTTGTTCAAGCTGCAAGTTTTGTTTTCCAGAGAGGGAAGTGGATTTTTAAAATGCATAACAAGCAAAGCAAGGCCAGTCACAAACGAAGACACAGAACAAGTCAATGAGTTCTGCTACAGGTTTTGCAACAGCTTTTCTTTGGCAGGTTGCTTAAATAACTTGTGCCAATATCTTCTGTGGTAAAAAAGGACTGGAATCCCTCAGACTGCGGTGGGGGCAGAATATATCTGTTTGTAAGTCATTTATATATCCAAGAATCTGAATCAGTGTAAAATACCACTCTTTCTTGAAAATTTATACCCATTAAACCACCTCCAGTGGTTTCTTATTATCAGTTACTTTTTCTTCCCTGTAACTGAAAGGCTATCAGACCAAGCTTGATTTGTTCACACTTCTGTCAGTTTCTAACTTAAACCAACAGCCAGGAATGTGACTAGGGACGGCCTTTGGCATTTATGAATTTCATTATGTCTCCTGTCACCTCAAGCCTCACAATTAATCACAGGAAAGAAAGGGGAAAAAATCTTCCCCTGCACTGCACTGCAAAGCTATGTAAAGCCTTTTACAGAGCCAGCGCTAAATCCTTTCCATAGACTGACTAGCTGAAGGATTTAAACTCAGCAATCCAATTAGCGCCCTTCTCCTTGGAGAGTTAGGGGTAAGTTTCAGCATGGCAAGTCTGGGATTCAGCTGCACAAGTCCCATTAACATTTAGGGGAACTGCATGGATAAATCCTTATCCACACAGTGCAAAAGGCTCCGTTAAGTTGTCATCTCTACAGTCATAGAAGCTGAAATTCATTCATGAAGGGGTTTTTTTGTTTGAATCGTAAAGCAGCATTTGCATTCTTTTAAAGCATATTAGATGTACAACAGTCTGTTCGTAGCCATCTTAGTGTTGTATTCAGTCACAAAGTTACAGTTACAACTGTCCCGCTGAAGCAATTAGCAAGGGCCAGTTTGATAAAAAAAGAGGTGGCCTGGAAGCTAGAACTCAGGTTTACAAACTGAAGTGTTCTGTGTCCTGGCTGTGCACTGTTGATACTTTATTGGAAAGAGTTGTTTCTGCCTCTGTACAGAGCTGGACATCAAAGGAAAAGTCTCCAGAATTGTAGTGAACAGCAACATCAAAAGACTTCAGAAATTATTTCAGGGAAAACACACCAGCAAATTAAGCTCTGGGTCTGCTGTCCAGCTGTGCTTTACAGGCAGAGAATACTGTTGGACTAAAAGTCTTAAGCACTGAGGCCGATCTTCTTTCCATTAAAACACAGAAACAGGATGCTGCTGCCAGATTTTTTGCAATAAAACTTGGCCTTACACATTTTGGAGTGTGAGGGCACTTTAAATAATGCATTTCTTTGATTGTTTCTTTACTATTCAGTAGCTGCATGGGGGATCACATTGCAGTTAAAAGTTAAAGCCTAATTTTGAGTGTTCCTGAGTGAAGGGGAGGTGCTGGTGTCATTACATCGACCAGACAGAGTTGCATAGATGGTAAGTGCTCCATCTCCACCCATCATCCACCTCCCACAGAGAGGAGGAGCTACCTATGCTGTAGAGCAGCCTTATCGAATGAGACGGGGCCTTTCTCCACAAACCTACTGCTGGAAGAAACCTATTTTTCTTTTTTCCCCTTTCTTAAAGTAAGTCAGAATCAACATAGAAATACAAACAAATAAATATGGAAAACATTGTCATGTATGGTCCAAGGACCTGTCATGGGGAGTTTGCAGAGAATTCCTTTTGGCTGTCCTGTCTCGTACTGCACCACACGTGAAGCCTGTCAGGCACCCTTGAGTTTGGCGTCTCCCATTTGAGTGGTGCCGTGCAAGCAGAACTTAGTGAAATTCTGCTGTATCAGCAGAGTTTCACAATCACTTTATTTTTAATAGGGCATAACCCAGTGGATACATGCTTGCACTTTAGTCTCCTCTCCACTTAGATTATAAATAAATAAGTTAAATATTAAATAAGTGGTAGAACTGAAGTCTCCATCTGCTCAGCAGAGAGTGCCCTGTACTTTAACCTGTGTAATCACTGCACCTTTTAAGCAACAAGCTCCATGCTCAGCACACCTCTTGCTTTGAATGCCAGTTATGAGCACCTAATGCTGCAGGGCCCTCGGGAGGCTCCAAGGCATTGACGCAGTCTGGCTTCTGCTCCTGGCATGGTTGGCTGTGGGGCTGGCTCACAGTTACCCCCACCCAGCGTTTCCTTCCTGTGTGCTAGACCTCAGGTCCCAAAGCAGGACACAAAATGTGTCTTTAATGAAGGCCTGGGCATCTTACAGCCACGGTAGGAAATAACTTTTGATGCAAATTCTATGATACGGGCACAGTATCACATCTTCCCCCTAGGAAGAATGGATTAATACCTTGTGTCATAGTAAAAATGCTATTAGGTCAGAGCCTGAAAGTTAGGAATTCTTGAGTATATTCTTTTCTCTGAAAAATGCCATTTACTGTCAATGCTGGTGTCTAAATTAATTCACAAGGGATGTTTAGATTTACTAACAGGTCTTTTGGAAGATAGTCTAAAGATTACTATATGCCTTCACATCGAACTTACCGCCCTTTGCTGGGGGTTAAATATTTATGTTTGTCTGACTAGGTAGATTTAAAAATAAACTCAGTCATGCAAACACAAATTGAAAATGAGGGCATGAACTGCATCTGTAATCTTACTAGCAGACAGACACAGAGGTAAGCGTTTCATCAGCGTCAAGAGGAAGAACATGTTGCAGATCTGTTTGCAAGAACAGACCCATCCTATACTTATTTACTTCCCATTACCAAAGCACTATCCATGTGACACTTTTGCACATTACAACAATTAATTCATTAACACTGTACATCACTACTGATTTTATTTAAACACTCAGTAAAAGGATTTTTTTTTCTACATTATAGTTTCCTTGAAATGAGCAACCAGACTACATTAGTTTGATTTAAAGTTGAGCCTAAATGCCATAGTTTGAACATGAATTACAGTCTTCTAAAAGTTTATTTGTTTAAGGAACTGACCTGGACTTTCCCAAAGTAGAATGATTTCCAACAGGAAAGACAGTCTATATTGCTGTAGACTGTACAATACAGTTGTCTGATTGCATCTAGGAAATTAACAAGTCTTTTTTCTGGGAAAAAAAAAATTAAAATAAAGCTTTTTACAATTGTACCATGAGCATGGTTATCAGCCAAGATTTCATCTGACTTGCTAGCAGGAAGGCTGTGAGTGAGGAGCCACCTTAAGCTGCTGGAGTTAGCTCTGGAATCTCACCTGCCAGAGAGGAACAGGGCTAGCCCGTACCTGGCCTAAAGGATTCAGGAGTGAAGGTGGTGACAGCTAAATTATTACAAAAGGCTTCCTCCCAATAATCATCATCTTTGGCACTGTGAGAGGGAAGAAAGGAACCAGCATTCATAAACTAATAGAAATAAATCCCAAACACTAGCATTTGTGCAGCAATTACATGGAATATTTATCACCGCTGGAATGAATGGTGATCTCTGACCTTCTAACATTTTTTGCAAATGAATCCATTAGTTCCAACCCCTTTCTCTTATCAGTACATGAGCCATAAAGCATTGCAGGTGTAGATGAGCAAGGAAAGAGGAGATTAATTGTATTTGTAGTAATGAGTAAAAAAGGAAGTAGACTGAGGGCCTGCAATGAGGCAGTTGTTAAATTTAGCGCTATACAATGCACTTGCATTAGTAAGCAAATAAATTACTCTTTGCAGCTGGACTCGGATTGTTGCAAAGGTTCCAGTTTTAAAGAGCAGATTTTTATAGTTAAGTCAATACTGGCTTCTGGACCGCTTTGGTTTTTAGCACATTTAAGATGCATCTACAAAGCCAACTTACAAATTAATAAATCTTTCCTTTAATTCAGTCTGCCAAGAACAAAGATAGAACACTGACTACTGCAGAAGCCATGTTAGTGATGTAAACCAAAGGACTGGGGATTAAACAAGGATTACCAAGCGCTAAATCAATGTGTTTCCTTTTCTGGCTGTGTGTCTGTGGTGTGAAAGTATGGATCATTACATAAAACGTGGCATATGACTGCTTGGATTAATACTAGACAATGTTACAGCAATGCTGAGACGCAAAGTTTGATGTTTAAGCACGACCAGTTTGCTACCAAGAAAGCGATGGCAATGACTAAGGAAGAAGGCATGTTTTTTCTGTTGTTTGTAGTATCCAGTAATTTTTCCAAGTAAACCTGGCTGTGTTAAATCCATGCCCTACTCTTCTGAAGCATGCTGGAGCTTTTTTTAATTTATATAACCTCAAGAAAACTATCCAGAATTAAGATCCTACTAGTTTTTTGGCAATTCATTTAAGGATCTCAAAGTACAAAATAAAATGCAAAAAACCCTCATGTCTGCACTATCAGACAGAAAAGTAACTTTAAAAATAGACTTAAATTGAAGCATGCCAGGTGTGAAACTTGCCAACAACATCAAAGCGTGGACCTGGTCTAGTAGACCAGGTTGCTCAAAGCCCTCTCCAACCTGGCCTTGAACACCTCCAGGGATGGACCAGCCACAGCTTCTCTGGGCAACCCGGGCCACTGCCTTACCACACTCACAGTAAAGAATGTCTTCCTAATATCTAAACTAAATCTCCGCTCTTTCAGTTTAAAACTGTTACCCCTCGTCCTATCACTACACCCCCTGATAAAGAGTCCCTCCCCAGCTTTCCTGTAGGCCCCTTTTAGTCAAGACCAGACCAGCAGCTGGAGTTTGAGCTGGTTAGTCACACAGCCATTCTTGTGTATGGCTTTATTTACCACCACCCCTTATCAAACACCACGAAACAACAGGTCTGTTTGGTTGAGCCATCTGCTCCCCTATGCATTTGTAACACTATCATCAGCTGCATTTACTCAGCCTGTTAAGAATTTTGTTCGAGAGTAGTAACACCCCCCGAAATACCTTTAGTAGTGATACACACCCCCAAATATATTTAATGTTCATGTCCAAGTAAATTTTAGTTTAGCTATTAGTGGTTTATTCCCCTTCAATACAATCCATCACAAAAACTTTGACACTACAATGTAT